ATTGGGTTTCTTTACATGATTCGTGTGCGTAAAAATAGAAAAAAAAAACAGTAGCTGTGCGCAAGAGATAAAATACAAGAAATAAATCAAAGGGACAAAAAAACAACATATATATATATATTGAATTTTTTCATCTAAAAAACATGATAATTTATTTTTTATTGAAGTGAGTAATAAGATAAATAAATAAACAATTAAGAGACATAAAAAAAAGATAAACAGAACAAGCAAACATAAACGACATACTACTTTTCCTATTCCAGATTTGTAATCTAATGGCAGATGTTAATAGTTTGAGACAGCGATTAACGCCACTCGTCGATCAGATTACACAAGATATTCAAATAATTGAATCAAGTAAGATATATGAAAATTCTCTACCAACATCATTATTTTATTTATTCTAGCACGAAATTTAAGTTCGAAACATCGGTTAGAAAAATCAATCAATGAAGCAACGCAATTAGTATGTTGAAATTTTCTTTCAAAATTTAAATGTTTTTTTGTAATTAAAGGCTCGTGATCTTGAACGTCTTGATCCAGCTTATGGTCGTGATTATAAACAACGTATTGATGCTGCTCGTCAACGTTTAGTATGTACTAAAATGAATTTAATTTTCAACGAATATGATTTGTTTTTCTAGGAAAATGTTAGTAGAGTACCTATTCATGGTGCATGGAATTCTGGATTTGATCCTGAAGCTGATGTTAGTTATTTAATTATACATATTTTATTTCTCATGTTGAATATTTCAAAATAATTTTAGAGACTTGGACAACAACAGCGTGATTTACTTTTACGTGGTCATGCTTCATTAGTACGTACTGACGAAGCATTAAAAGTATCTCGTCAAACTGCTCATGAAACTGAACAATTAGGACAAGAAATAATGTCTGATCTAACAACACAACGTGAAGCACTCTTACGTACACAAGGCAAAGTATGTGATGAATATAGTAATATAAAGATATATCTATTAATATTTATAGTTAAATGAAGGCAATGAACATTTAAAAGCTGGTCGTAAAACACTTCGATTAATGTATAGCAGGTAAGATTTAACAGATATAAATAAATATTAATTCTGTTTATTTTCAGAGTTATAATGAACAAAGTTCTCCTGATAACAATAATACTTGTCGAACTTGGTATATTAGGCGGTGTTATATATTGGAAATTTTTTTCGAAATGAAAAATTAATTTTTTTAAAAAAACAAATGTATAAGACTTGATGATTCAAATTATTTTTTTTTTCATTTGTTGTCAGTTGATTTCTTTTTTTTTTATTCATTTATCATGTAATTTTTGCCCTTTCGCTTGATGAATATAATGTGTTATTTATTAAATGTTCTAGATTGATTTCTCTTGTCATAAATATTTTTCTATTTCAAATGAGTAGTAATCTGTCATTACAATGGGAAAAATTATTACGACCTGGTATAATAACTGTAAGAATTTTGAGGATTAAAATAATAAATCGAAAGAAATCTTTTTTTATAGTTATTCTATCGAGAATATCCATTAATGGAATTACATGATGATGCTTGTCAACGTATTCAAGAATTTCTATATAAAATTCTTCGTTTTCTTCTTCGACAATATCCACATCGAGCAGAACTTGAACAATGGTATGTTTGTATTGAAAAAAAAATTATCTTTATGTTGTCAAAACAACATAAGAATGATTTTTTCTTGTCTTCAAAAAAAGATTAATCAATTAAGCGATTATATATGATAAATATGATACTACTCTAATAGTCTCTAACTACGCAAGAAAGATAAACATAATTCATCCATAAACCAATCATATTATATTTAGCTTACAATATTTCCGCAAACTTCCTTTATCACATATAAATCCAGATGGTTTAAAAACAACCCGAGATAAAATTTTTGTTTTTATCTAGAAAGAAAAAAAACCTGGCAAATATTTTAATCATATAAAAATTATTCTATATGAAAAACAAAAGATAATCATTTTTTTTGTATTTGTATCTAAATCCTTGTCTCAAAAAAGGTCAGAATACGGCGAACGAAGAAACCAAATAACGATACATCAATAGATCGGGTTGTTATTTTTCTTCGTTTAACATAAACATCAGTTGTCTATATCTCTTTCCATTTGCTACTTTTGGCTTATTTTCCCTTAGAAAATAATTATCTCTATAACCAGAAGAAAAAAAAACACATATTTGACTTTGTTCTCTAGGTTATACATCAATTATCCTGAAGCACAATATGCATTAAATCGTAATAATCGAAAACGAATTTTTTCCATTGATCAACTTCAAACATTAATTCATAAAGTATATATTTATATATATATGTGCTATCATTTGATTAAAACTTAAATATTTAGGAATTTGGTTCACATAATGAAATGGATATTAGTTATTTAGCAACAACACTTGAACATTGTACAAAAGATTTATTAAAAGTTTGTTAAAACAAAACAAAAAAACTTTGCATTTGAATGATTTTTTTTTTGTCTTTAGCTTGCTCATGATTATGTAAATCGTTTAGGAAAAAATGAAGTTCTAGCTAATGATATTGATTTAATAATGAATGCTGATACGGTAGATATAATAAAAAGGGAAAATATTAAATATTCTTTTTCGTTATTCAAAAAGATTTTTGTTGAAATTCTTCGTTCGGATTTAAATCATTCAACAAATACTTCATCAACAAGATATCATATCGATACATCAATAGCAACAATGTCTTATAATGAATTAATTCGACATTTTATTATAACAGAAACACAATATAAAGATGATTTAGAATTATTAATTAAATTATTTCGAAATCCTATTCGAATATTTTTTAATGATGATCCAGAGGTTCGGAAATTTTATTTTATTTATTTTTTTAAAGAATATTTTTCTAGATTATTGACAATGTATTTGGTTGTTTGGATGATATTTATGATTTAACAAATAGATTTTTATCGGATCTGGAAGATGCAAAAGAAATGAGAGATGATAATACAAAAAGTATTTCATTATATGAACCATTTCAAAATTTTATAGAAGTATGTTAGAGATTTGTATCGCTTACATTTCGGGAAAAGGTAATTCTGAAATAACTTTCGATAGTACCAGACATGTTTTATCAAAACAATTGAGCCGGAAAGTCATGTAAGAAAATCAACTAGCATCTGGTCTGTAGAAAATAAGATGTAAAAGATTTCTATATAACTAAGTAATGAAACATAAAGTAAATAAAATACTTGTTTAGATATTCTTAAACTGTAACAAAATACTTCTTTGTAATTATCAGTGAGCGGGATAGGTGGGCGGCGCCGATTCTAAATTTTGATTCGCCCACCCGAAAAAAGAAACACTGTCTTGGAGTTTCGGTTAGTTCGATTCTAAAAGTTTCTCATTGGTAATAATTTATCCTTGACACTTAAACTATATTTGTCTATTGAGTGTTTTTAATATCTATTAGTTGCAAATAAAATTATATGGGAAAAAATCCACTACTGACAACTTTGTTTAATCCCTCCTGAAGTTCTAATAAAGAAGAAAAGGCAATCGCGTACTTTAACACATAGATTAACTCTGCTAGTCTTTCAATTCATGTTTGCTATCACTATTAAGTGATATTCATAGGTTTACCTTCTGCGTTATAGATCACAAGATTCAATTATGTATGTCACAGATCAATCTGACACTAGTACAGTTGTATATATATCTGTTTATAAGAAAAAACTCTCTTTTATTTACTGTATTCATATAAACATACAGTCATTTGAATAAAATATCTCATTTCAAATTGTACTATTCATTTACTAAAATAATATGATTTATTTTTATTAGGGCAATGAATTTGAATGTTATACTAAATATACTCAAATAATTCTAGCAAATGATCATGAAGATCAATTTAAAAAAATCGTAATGAATCAAAATGTAAAACAATATTTAGAAGTAAGATTATTTTCATTCGATTCTTATCCATTTAATTTTCTACTATATTTAGTCAAAATCAGATCAAATGAAAGAAACATATCGATATCTATTACCTGCATTATTACATTTACCTATTCATCATTTTCAACAATATCTCATTTATCTTGAAGTAATATTTAATATCAAAATATCTTTAAAAATACATATTTAATATCTTTTAAGAAACTAGCTCTTTTTCCTGAATCTGAATCAGCTCAATTAACAGATGTTCTTAGTGTATTAAGACAAAATAGTCATCATATAAAACGACCTAAATTAAACATGTATGTATTGCAAAGAACATATATTTATATTTTAAAATAAGAGTATAATATTTTTGTTATTATAGAAATTTGAGTATTCATTCGTTTACAATGCCAAAATTAACTGATAATAAAATAAATAATTGGAAAAATATCATTGAAAATTGGGATATTAAAGAATCCATATCACTTATGGATAGTCATCTTAAACATATCGTTATACAAAATTCTTCATCGAATATCATAACAAGTGTTGATCGACGTGCAATTTTATTTTCAACCGTTTTATGTCTTTGTAAAGCTGTATCAAATGATAAATGGAAATTTAAAGAAAAAATTTGGTTAAGAAAATTTAATATTAATGATCAAATATTTGTTGCAGGTAATATTATTGAATTCACATAAAACAAATTTATAGAAAAATTTTATTTAAGATCATGAATATGTATTTGAAATACAATGTGATGAAAAAAATTATATTTTAGCAGCTCGATCAGAACAAGAAAAAACTCAATGGTTATGTTTATTAATGTATATACGAAATAAAAGGTATTTTTTATATTTTGTTATTTTCTAAGCGAAATAGAAATAGGGTCCGGCAGGACCGGGTTTTTTTATCCGGATTCTGGTCCCGGAAAAATATTTTTTCGGGATTCTCGTTGTCGTTACCGTTCTCTGTGGATACAATTCATCCAGTCTTAAAACCCATTAATGTATTTACTTGGAATTCCGTAGTCCCTATTCCATTTTTAACAGGGATACCCATCCCGACCCTAATGAGAAGAAAAGTTCATAATAGCTACGAAATAATTATATTTATCTGTATTGTGTACGAATCGAAAAATAGGAAGAATGTAACAATTCATCAGTTTTAATAATGATTGAAATCTTCTTTTTATGATATTCAATCAGGGTAAAGATGGATTAATCGATTTCTATTGTTAGAAATCATTATCACATGAATAATCATGAAAAAACGAATGGTACTCAGGTTAATATCGAAATCTTTGATTTGCTGATTTCTTTTTAATAGTCTATGATGCATAGATAACAATTAATTTTTGCTAATAGAAATCTGTTCTCTTTCTCGTAGAGAAGAGTCCAGTAAACATAAATTGTCTGACTTCTTGCTTGATTGTGTGTCCGCATCTTAATGATTCATCGAAGAACTAGGTGAACATGTAAAAGAAATTTTTTTATAAGGGTTCACCGAACGATTATCAAGATCGTAGAATTCAAATCTGAAGTCAGTTTTTGAAATTGTTTGAATAAATAGTTTACTGGTAGCGAAGACATTTTGGTTCTACGAGAAAGAGCTGAGCGAGTCTTCAGATGAGCATTACTTATTTATTCTCTCTTATCTTTTAGTATACTTCAACGTGAATTATACAATATTCTTGTTAATGAAGACGCTCAACAAATTTTACTAACTCCTGATCCAACACAATACAAGTAAAACAAATCATATATATGTATCATAAATTAATTAAATTTTCTCTTAGATTCTGTGCACCGAATCTGCCAACAAATATTCAAATTGATTATCATACAAATGATAAATCTTCATCATCACCGTCCTTTACAATACGTGGTGCAACAATAGAAAAATTAATTGAACATTTAACACATCATCAATTATTACATCCACGTTTTGTTAAATCATTTCTTATGACATATAAATCTTATTGTACACCATTAGAATTATTAAATTTACTTATTGAACGATATAATATTCCTGAACCAGCATCTTCATATCTGTATACAGAACAACAATTAAAAAAATTTCGTAAAGAATATGTTCAACCTGTTAAATTAAGGTTAAAAATTTTTATTTTAATAAAAAATAAATTTGTATTAAACGTCAAAGTGATTTTAGAGTATTAAATGTTATTCGACAATGGGTTGATAAATATTTCAGTGATCTTGTTGAATCAAATGATCATATACTTGATCAATTACGAACATTTCTACAATCA